TATGTTAGAATTACATATATAAAATAGATGATGATAATCTTGACATAGGGCCTAATACATTTGACAGTGATATATATTGTTAGCAATTTACTATCATTAAAATTATCAAACTGACATGTTCAATGGACTCGTTACAAAATCGGATTTCGTCGGGGCAAATAACACGCCTCACTGATTCCTAATACCTCACAATGCAAAATACAACTTGTATCTGATTGGAAGTTTTTCCTTAGGTCAAAAGTGACGGAGCAAAAAATTGACCAATCATCGTGAATATCTTAAAAAAGTAAGGTCAAAATATGTAGTTTGTTTATTCAGAACTTCAATTTACTTTAAAAATATGATTTAAAGAACATTAAAAGAGTAATATTTCAGCTACAATAAACCGTTTTAGACAAATTGATCCGATTTTGATCAAAAGATATTGCTAAAAACCGACGAATATCACCGGAAACATCTATGCGCTGACATTGTTATCATTATCGTCATTATCATGGTCATCACCACCACCAGCACCATCATCATCATCATAATCATATCCATATCATCACCGTCACCATGATGATGATGAATATAAATACGATAATGGTGATGAAGATAACGATTGGAATATTATGTCAAAAATCGCAGCTGTTGCTCTGTATGTTGCGCAAAATTTTCCATCGAATTTAAGACCACTATAAAATAAATAGTGAATGCAATATTTTCTATATTTTATTGTTTTTTTTTATGACTTAAACATAGAATAGTAGCCAGCGCACACCAAAAGATTGGTGTGTATTGATAAAGATTGGTATTCTACTTTCTTATCTGAGATTAATCAGTGGAACTTTCGGAACGTTTCCACGGTATATTTATTAAGGAAATAACAGTTGTATAACTAGCTATAGAGCTTTTTACATTAATAATAAAGACAAAACTATAATTTTGAATTTATCAATTTTCGTGCGCCCTTAATTTTTGCGATTGTCACTATATTAACTGAACTGAATAAGAATAACTGAATAAGATAAACTTTATTGGTCTATTCACATATTAAAATACATAAACAGAAATGTTTCTTGAATCCAGCATAAACACGTACACATCAACACCAACAAACATCAAATCACAAAAGCAAAGAAATTGTAACGCATATATATATATAATTTAATATTAAATATTAATTAACATTATAGTATAGTTAATGACTTAAAATGTCATTTACAACAAATTGAATTGAGCATTAATTAAAATTATAATTATTTTATGAAAAATTTTATTTACAATAAATAGAAAAGAATTCAATATCAGATATCAATTGCAGTTCAAAAATATAAAAATTGCACATGAATACAAGAAAACTCTAACAATTTCATACAAACATACACACAAAAATACACCAGGTACATAAATAACACGTGCAAGTCAAGAACCAATTATAATTATAAAAGCACAGGGGTTACAAAAACAACACCAAAAACAATAACATTAATCTTGACTAGGATACAATGGCGGGGTATCTGAGTCTAATCATAAACATCCAGGATATTATTTATTTTAAATTCAATGACGATAACTATCGTTTGACATTCAAGTTAAATAAATTAAATGAATTAAATAAATGAATTCCATTGGGTATGGGCGAACATCTGAACCGTTTAGTCCTGGTTCGTGCTAGGACAAGTACTTTGAGTAAAGGGTGAGTACTATCATTAAAATGACAAATGGGCTTTACAGTAATAAAACATTAATAGCAGTATACAGTAACTGTAGAGCCATTCCAGAACACTTGGAATTAAACAATCTTACATTTTACTAAATCATTTCGTAATTTCCCTCTAAATAGAGATATTTAAAGAAAAAATAAAATAATAGGTAAATAATAACTATTAATGCATAGTCATGTGATCTTCATAATTATACAGACTGGAAGTCATGAGTAAATAAAAGGGAGATTCTAATTAGGGACCAAGCTCTTCCAGACTAGTAAAACCTGGTTCCAAAATTGGCCTTTAATTTCAGGGAGAAATGTAATTCATAATTAATATACTAATTATAGTTGATAATTCTATCGCAATTTAAATGTTACCAGTATTACACAATAAATATATTATTTTTTGTAACATTTTTATAAATACTCGGTCCAGATTTTAGGTTGGTCAATACGTTTATTAAATTGATATCCACTTAAAATAAAATTTACGAATAGTATCTATGATTCACTTCTAGTATCAAATACACTCTACCATGAATGAGTATGATCGGCTCAAAAGGACGTAACCATATTTGTTATTGGTTACCTTCTAATATATCCGCATAATCGCCCATTCTGTTTGATCTCAATGTTTTGATCAAATCCTCTGCTGAATTTTCTTTGATAACTTTGTTGTCTTCCAGTGCACATATTAGAAGCCATGGATCCCCATTGTGTACTTTCTCATTTATTTCATAAAAGTAACCAATTTCAGTAATAGACGACCTGTCCAAAATTTTGCCAAATCTGATCAGATTTTGTCTATATGGGGAAAATATCCTGATTTCCACATCTTCTAATTTAAAACTTTCAAACTTTGGCTTTATTTTGTTAATATCTGACTGAACACCATCAAGCCGACAAATCTTAACAGCCTCAAAAATAAGGGCATGTTCTGAAATGCTGATTAAACCATTTGCTTTCAGTAAACTAAATAAAGCCATCACACTATTTGTGTTTTCAATGTTAACAAGACCCACCTGTTCCTTAAACTGTCTAATTAAAACTTTCAGCATATCGATACTAGCATATTTCTTCCACCAATCTGACACAACTTTCTGCAAACGGACAAAATCCTCTGGGGGGATGCCTAAAAAATAAAATGAAAATATCACGTCTCAATCGATACTTTTGACCTAAAAACTGTTGGAGATATAATAAAGTTCCATGCATAATATGATATCTTCAGAAGAATGGCAAAAAGTCAACAGTGTTAACGGCTATCTTGATTTATATTGTGAAATAGAGTGTGTCTGGTGGTATTTGAATATGTTGAACCATGAAGTCTCTGTGTTTTTTATTCATTTATTTAGAGCAGTGCTTCTCAACCATTTTTAGGTGGCGACCCACTTTCAGAATGAGAATTTTGTGGCGATCGAAGGCATAACATTGTCATACTAAAAAAATGGTTTCAATTTTTTATTTACTTAATTAATGAGGTACACAAGACTTTTGATATCGTGTGCTGAATGTTTCATTTTATAATATGGAGGAATGGCTGATCCAGTGGTTCGAAATAGAGAGGCAGGAGCTATCGAAATATCTGTTTTGATTTTGTTATAGTTTAATAAATTATCAGGTGATTTGGATTCTACTTTCCCTAAAGTAGAAAATATAGATGACAGGTAAGGAACTGTTATTAAAAAATCGTCGCTCACATCACGAACTGACACAATCAAATTAGATTGTTTTAGTTCGTGAAATCACAGTACCGCGTCAAAACGAGCGCGTAATGGTTGTCAAGCAATTCCGTATTCTTTACCACACAAAAAGTCCTTAACAACAACAGCGCGTATTTTGACGCGCTTTTTTGATTTAACGAACTAACACAATCTACTTTGATGTGTTAGTTCGTGATGTGAGCGACGATATATATATACACACACACATCAGCTCACCTTGCATACAGGACTGCTCATGCGTGGACGATGATGGTTGAAGCGTATCCTTAGTCGAGGATGGATAAGCTGCATCCACAGTCGAGGACGAATGAGGTGATCCTAAAAAAAAAATTCAAATTTATTGCAGCCAGAAAATAATGAACAGGGCTTCGATGAGGACTAGCCTTGAAGTAAACCTGTCTCCGCTAGCCCTGGAACCGGATTTACAATAACAAAAAATGACAATGAGAAGCAGAAGTACAGCAAAAATAAAACTTCAATGACTTACTGACTATATACATTTGGACATAAAGGGTATCTCAGTTCACTATTAAATTTATTAATATTTGTAATTTCTGTTAAATAACTGGGATGAATATTCCATTGAATGGGACCTTGACGGCTATGAATGAATCCAAGATTTTACTAACTGATTCAATAATTTCATGTTCAGTTGTGTGACTTTTACAAAAACCATATTGACAGCAAGAAAACTATATAGTCTATAGAGTGCATAAATTTTTTGAGTATTTTTGAAAAAACTAGAAGAAAAGAAATTGGTCTGTCATTAGAGATATCAGTTTTGTCCCCCTTTTCGAGAATTTGTATCACTTTTGCAATTTTCAAGCTGTCAGGAACAATTCTGTTTTTAAACGAAAAAGATTAAAAAAGTGAGTTATTGGTGAACATTTTCACATTTGTTGCATTTGCAAAAAGCTTAATTTTTAGAGGTATATAATCATGACCAAAGCTATTTGATGACTTAAGACAAAAAATACAATCAAGAACTTCTTGATCAATGATTGGAATAATAAAAATTAGTTTATAGAATTATTTTTAACATAACCCATTGGATTTTCACTAACAGAGGAGTTTTTAGTAATATTTATGAAGTAATCATTAAAGTACTCATATATATTTCGAGTGCCTAAAATTTTAGTACTGTATTAAGGTGGAACATGATATTTGTAATATGGTTTTTCGTATAGTTTCTTGGTGTGATAATCATATTTATTACATACACATTTTTTTTAACATTGCTTTTTATAAAAATAGTTGTTTTTTTTTTTGGCATTTTTACAGATGTTAACAAAAATCACAATAATTGCAATATGCCTTTTTATTTTAAACTTAGGATTTATAATTATAACAGATTTTTTCTATTGCTAGAGTTCAGAAAAGCAGATGTTATCCATGAATGCTAAGTTGCTTTTACTTTAACCTTGATTGTTTTTAAATGGCTGTTGTATATATACAAATAAAGGTGGAATAAAAAATTTCATATCACTTCTTGCCATATCAGAAATTAAAGCAGACTCAGATATAAAGTAGTCATCAGATTATTTGGTCTTTAAAGTAAAATTTTGAATAATTTGAAAAATAGGCAAGTGATCGGAAATATCAGAAATTAATATCCCTGAGGTGATTTTGGTCTAAATCAAATTAGTAAAAAAATGAGACATGATAGGCCCAGCGGTGGTCCGGAAGTGCCCAGAGAAATAAAGGAGGATACTAAATTTGATGCCAAGCCTGCAGTTATTCCCTGGTTCAGAACTGGCCTCTGCTCGAGACCAGTAGAAGATGGAGCGGAGGTTAGAAGCAGACCTGCCGGGACTGCAAGGGGCGATACTTTTTCAAGTTACTGAAGTTTAAGACGAGGTGGAGGACACTTTCTACGTCAGAGGACATAATTAAATTTTGTTTTGTGTTTTTAATTTAAAAAAAGTTAATAATTAGTTAACACAGAGGCACACTAGACACTTTGTTAGAGTTCGTCAACAAGTAATCATATCGGAGGCACAGTAGACCCTTCGAATAGACTTATTGTTATCTTAATAAAATTTCGTTATTGATGTGTAAAGTTTATATTTGATTCAAGGGACGAATCAGGCTAAGAGGGGAGCTATGTAACGGAATTTCTCCCCAATTGTTGGAACTGCCCTGTAGGGTGGTAACACCAATTAATTAAACAGCCCTAAGCTACGTTTCGATTGACCTGAATGTTATCTACCATTTTCTTGAAAATATTAATAATTATTAACATTAACTACCGGCTTTAAAATACATTTCATATGCATATTACTGGTTCCAATTTTTATAAATAAAAAATACACAATAAAAGATACCATTCATACTACCGACTCCATACATTGAGTATTCATTAACGTTCATACAATTGGTTCCAACATAATCAATATTAATCACGCACTCTTTTTATGAATTTCTTAACATGACTGAAGACTAGAATCTGTAGTAATTTTATTATCAACCAGAAACAACACAATCTTCAATTATTCTTTCATTGAACCCAACATTTAAAAATATTACTGTCCACAGAACGTGATGCAAGGGAATCGTACCAGCAATGTTCCACAGTAAGCACAAAAATGGCAATAAAGATCACTAACCTTGCATTGGTTTTGTTTTTTGATTCAGATTTATCTCAATTGGCGCAACTTCTGAATCATCGCTGTAGCCTTGCCTTTCACACACACTTTTTGCAAGTCCAAAAAGCTTCTCTTGCCTCAAAGCATTCATCATGATTGGTACTTGGTTTGTTGATTGGCTATCTCTCCAAGTAACCAGAAATTCCATGATGCAGTCTTCCACCTGTATGTTGTTGTTTTCTATCTTATCAATATCGGTCAGCTTGAGTCCAAGACGCACTCCTAGTCTCCTCCAAAATTTGGAATCCAGATTGTCGCAGATGAACAGCAAATCTTGATCATCAAAATATTTTTCTAATTCAAAATCATACAGATACTAAGTAAAAGATTAGCGGTCTAGTGGTTATGATACCAGGAGTCTGCGGGTTCAATTCTCATAAGTATTTAGGGACGCATTGAGTGTAAGTTCTCAACTATATTATAACAGGGGCCAAGTTTGTAGATCAAACCAATTTGAAGGGTCCAGTGATATGGAAGTTCGCAAAGCGACCTAAGGTGTAGGGAAAAATAATTTTGAAATATACTTCTTTGTATAAAGAGCATAAAACATGATGCATCGGAATCGTGCTAGCTATGTTTCTCAGGATGTGCGTAAATGATAGCATTATTTATTTTTTAAATTTCACTAACTTTGAACTGGTGTTGGAATTTGAGGCTGATTTATTTGAGTTGCTGCAAATTCTGACTCGTCACTGTAACCATGCCTTTCACATACACGTTGTGCAAGTCCAACAAAACTCTGTTGTCTCAAAGCGTTCACCATGGTTAATACTTGTTGGCTCTTTGATTGGTTATTCCTCCAAGTAACCAGCAATTCCATGATGCAGTCTTCAACCAGTCTGTTGTTTTTTGCTATCTTTTTTATATCGGTCCACTTGAGTCCAAGACGTACTCCCAGTCTCCTCCATGATTCGGGATCCAGATTGTCGCAAATGAACAGCAAATCTTGATCATTACAACATTTTCCTTATAGAGATTACACAGCAAGTAAAAAACACTTAGTTAATGACGTCATTGACAGTGGTGTGTACTATTTGTTAATTTGGTCAAAATAGAAACAAGCTATATGAGGTTAATTTTCTATGTATTTCCGAAATCAAATACTTACCTGCTTGTTGAGGAACAAGATTTCCGTTGCTAATTTCACACTTTAACAAATCTTCAGCTAGTTGCCTGAGCTTATGTTGTGTCAGAGCAGTGCACAACAC